GATGGAGAACCAGAAATGATCGACCTCGTCCCAAGACCTTGTAAAGGTGCGACACGCTACCTTTCGTGACGTAGTGTAATATGGCGTGAAATGCATCGCTTGACTTTTGCGCGGTAATGAAGTAGATCACCTGTGGCGGATCCAGACCTTAAGCTAAGGGGGGGACCGGTTTTTTGTCGCTTGCCCTGTCAGCTTTTTCTCCTTCTGCGATTCTTTTTTTTTTTTTTACCCAAAATAAGGGGGGGGGACCCGGGCCTCTTGGGCCCCTCCCCTACATCCGCCACTGATCACGACTGGCTTTATTCTCGCACCTAAGACTGTATGTACACCGGCAGTAATTACACTGGACGTAAATCGCAGTTCTATTCAGTGCCCCCACAAAAGCGCTCCTCTGAGGTCCTCTGAACACCTGCTCCGTTAGAAGGATGTCAAATGTATTTTGTTTCTGCTCTGAATGCGTTACACCATTGTTGCGCACTGACAAAACATTTGATTTGTAGCATCGTCGTGGTCGTTAAGATCCACGAGATTGTGAAAATAAAGGAGTATACTTTTTTAATTTGATGGGGGCACAAAGAAAGCAGTCTCTATAAAGTCCATTGAAGTAGTTCGGCGGGGTTTCTGACTAAAAATCAATTTTGGCTTTTGACAAGCAGAGCAGGACACAAAAAGTCACAGAGTGGTGCAAAATTTCTTTCTCGGCTCACTCGAAACAGCGGTACCCAAGGCAGTCAGAAAACAGAACCAATTAAATTTATTAAAGACATGATTTAAAGGCTGAAATTTAAGCTTTCAAAAAATAGAATAGTCAAGTCTCAAGTCTCTGGGATCGATCTGATCATCTCCAATTGGTTGGAAATACTCAATACGGTAACTTGTCCAAGTAAAATCTGTCTTTTTGGTAAGAAAAATTTAAAAACGTTTTGGGGAACTGTTTATATCTTCGCTAGTTCACGAGCAACACACGTATTAACAAGTTCGTGAGCAAACCAGTCGAAAATAATTATGCTTTTTTTCGGCTGGAAATCCTAAAAAAAGGAGATAATCATTACCAGCTATTTTGCTACATCTCGGTGATTCTGCTGTTTGCGTCTGATTGTTTCGAAAGTAGACAACAGCGACCGAACTCTTTAGTTTACAAGCTGTGTTGGTCTGTATTAGACAGAACCCCTTAAAGAGAGATAAGATATTGAAAAAAATCCGCAACCGAATAGTTAATGGTAATAAGAATACACATTTGATAGGGAGGGAATCAAAATAAACATTTTGACATGAGGTGTCAAAAGTTTCTTAAATTGTATGAACTCCTAAAGTGACTTTTTCTTTGACCAAAATTTAAATAAATATTTAAAATATTGCCTGCAGTAAAATTTATTGAGAAAAGTCAAGATAATGTTAAGTCTTGTCACCTCAAGTAATCCTATTTTCAAAAATATTCAATCAAAGAAGCAGGAATGGTTAACTTATTTTGAAGTGTTTTCAACACCATAAAATTGTCAAACAAACTGTCGCCCTCTTTCAAGCGATTGTATTCTCTTCAGAAGTAGCAATTATTCACAAAATATTATGCATATTGACAATTTTCTACGGTGACTGGCGTCTCGCTGTTTTGAATTTGAATTTTGGACTCGGAATAATTTTCTTGTTCGTTTACCGTGATAAAAATCACATAAATTTGTTGCTGAATAAAACGTCGAAAACGTCAAATTTGATGAAAATTTTAAAAAAGGTGGGATGAACACTAAATCTCATTTTAAATGTTAACTACGCCCTCCACTGTATAGAATGTCGTTAATATAGTCGCTACGCTCGCATTTTCAAGACATCCTTTCCCGCCCGCTGTTCGTAAGGCATGTTTTCTCCGGCATTGCGCGCAGGACACTTCACAGTGGAATGATTTGAATTATCTTTTTTTTTATCATTAACAACTTTGCAAGTCGGTGACATGGTGCTTCACACAGCTATCTACTAAAAAAACTTTTGTCATGTCAAATGTATACGGGAGGACATGCAACGAGTTCTGTGGTAGTCATTTGCATAAAAAGGATTTAGCATAAAATATTGGAGATTTGTCCAAGGAAAAGAATCGACGCACATTTGGCTCACTGAATGAATACCCGGACAAAAAAATTTTGCTGTTTCAAACAATTCAAGAGTGCCAGCTTTAATTTCTCAAAATGAACAATTGAAAAATCGTACGCCGGTCCTGGAAAACAACCTAACATATAGGTTATAACATTGTATTAACACCCGTGTAAGACATTTTAACCATGAAAATCGAGCTAAAAGTTGAAAATATAGACTGATCTATTGCATAATGCCTTTGAGTAAACAGAACTAATACGTGTCGAACAAAACTGGCGTCCCTGATCGTTTTCACTTGAGCTGAAACTCACGCGTTTTGACACTCTGAAACCCAATGATCAGATCAAAAGGAAAGCTATGATAAAAAATATTTTCAAATTGAACAGATTAGAAAATGTTTGACTGCAATACAAAGTATCTCTAAGCAATAACCGCAAATGACAGCACGCGCCTGAGGGAAACGAAACATGTACAGACAGAGTGTGGTTAAAGTCGCTTCATACCTAGTTTCGCTGTCCGTTGGAGTAAGTAGATCTCGGAATATGGATCTTCTTGGAGCTGCAGATTCACTATGAGAGCGCTTCTGTCGCCCTAGCTCAGCAGGTGTAGGATCCATTATTGTGGCACAGAGCAACTTGTCGTCTTTATTGCAATTTTCGGTTTTGGATGTTTCAGTTAAGTTTGACGCGCGCCCTCACAACGCATGCTCTAATCTCGACAAGTTCGCTACGACACCTGTTATCTGTTGATTGAGTATTTGGCATTGTATCACCTTGTTCTGGTGCGTCCTCCTCGACCTTTTCGTATTTTTTTGTAGTCTTCTAATAAATGTACGCCTTTCATTTTTTAAACCATTACCTCAAATTATAGTTTGATTGCTCGTTAGAAGCTGTATGGGGGTTACAAATTCTGTAGCTAAATGATGCCAATTAGAATGGAAAATTAAAAGTAAAACCTTAGAAAGCCACCGACTTTGTCAACAATATTGAATCTACAACGACACCAGCTATATTTCATCGATCCTGGAAAGTTTCTTCGGAGGTTGAAGAAAGGAAAATATGAAATTCTTTCGAAGCAATCGGATGTTGAAAATCATCGCGAACTCCTTTCAGCAGCTGCCCGCTTCCAATGAAATAAACAAGCTATTTTCATTTACTTGGCAGGAATATCATTACTTGGAAAAAATTGCATATTACGCTGAGTTGAGATTTCACAATAGGAAGAGAATTCTAATTGCATAATTTGCAACATTTTAGGTATTTTACAGAGCAATTTCTGCTCTAATTCAAAAACAATTCAGAGTTTTATAGAAATTAGTCGTTTAATAAGACTCTGAAGTATGGAATGTTTACTCACTTGGTTGTCATTCTTCGTGTGGTCACGATGTCCGGGATTTTTTTTTTTTAACTTGGCATCAATTTGATTTGGGAGAAACCACTTCAGATAGGCCACGCCGTTCTTCCACCTCAAGACACTGTACAAAAATCGAAGCGATGCTGTCGATATTAGTCGCTACTCTCTAGTGTATTGATTTCACCTATACTGATCACAAATTCATTTACGCAAGGTACTTCTAAAGATCCAATTTTCAGCTTTGAATTTGACACCTCACCAGATGAATAATTTCTTTTGAAAATTATCTCATTCAGGATTAGGTGTACTCTTTTAGGATTCGTCGAGAAATTTCAAAGTTGTAAAATGAGGTGGGGCTGAATATGTCGAAAAGTTTTAAAGAAAAATGTAATCAAGTAAATAATTGAGTATATTGAAACCAACTGCTACTTACTAAATTGCTAAATTTTCATTTTTTATTAGGTTCCTTTTGTTGTTATTTTCTTACTTCAGGATAGAATATGGGCTTTCCTGAGGGTTTAGGGAATTTTATTTTTGTCACAAAAAAATACTCCGAAAGAAAATTGTCGCTTGAAATTTCTATTTCTGCCGCCATTGAAGGCCAACGTTTTCACAAATCGTTTCAGGCCCATCTTTGTGGTCAGAAGTAATTTTACTTGAAGTTTCTCCAGACAGAGCTCATAAATATATGATGCATTTTCTAATTTTCATCAGTCGACCTTTAGCTGTAAAAAATTTGTTTTATTTTTGACTCTCACCCAAAAAACTATCACATCGCATTGTTCGATAACAGTAAGAAATATTCAATATATTCTTTTAAACCACTGTAAAAGTCATGAGTTTCTGCAAAGGAGCCCCTTGAGTTCTTTGATTGCGTTTTGAAAATATCGAAAGTCACGACTAGGTGTTCTTCAGCTAAGGAACAGCTGCTCCGAATGCCACCTCAAAGGGAAGGTTTTTTTCATGTTTTTTACTCTTCCAAACGGAATTTATCAAAATCTCAAATCAGTTGGTAATATCTTGTGTCAACTTCCGCCGGATTGTGAATTGTTACTGTTGCTTCTTAAGTATTTTAATAAATAATGATGAATGAAGTAATAACCGTATACCTATAAACCATATTGAGAAACAATGGATTTCTTGAACTACCGGAGGTAGTCTGGAAACGTTAAGTTTTTCAGCAGTTTTATTAGAACCCTATCGGGTAACAATGTGCTCTTCTCTGAAGACTCGGTTCGAAATGACTGACAAGGAGAGGTTTTTTTTGCTCGCGTGTTTGATTTTACGTAGTTTTAATATTTCATTTCCCGCACTGATATACTGGCATATACCATGAGTGGTCTGGAAACGAAAGGCAACTCTGGGTAATTTCTATCTATCATCTAAACACGTGCATCCGACGGAACTCATCGCAACTTATAATTTATCATCTAGTTTATTATCGTTGATGGGAAATTCAATTATACTGATGCTTTTGTTTTCATAACTGATGGTCTTTTTATGTTCTCTCTCTCGCTTAGTAAATTCTATTATTTATGGGTATACTAGATGTTTTTTTTCACACAGTACAACATTTTATTAAATAATTTACTGATGTACAATCTAAGATAATTTCGGGGAAATAAACTAGCGTGTAAGTTTCAGTCCTCACATGTTATGGCGAACAAGCCAAGAATCTATCCCGCAAAACAGCAGTTTTTCACTATGGAAAACAATGACCGTAAAGCGTAAATCAATCTTAAAACGACCTTCTACAGTTTTATCATCCCTCGGGAGTAGTTTCAATAGAAAAGTAGAATGTGGTCCAATACTCCACCTGTCTCAAAAACTCGTCACCCTTTGAACCAATCAGATGCAAAGTTAAACCAGTCTTGACTTGGTCACCCGCTTATTGGCTGTTATGATAACTTGATGTTAGCTTTTAAATGATTTCAAGCTCACTTTATTTCTAGCGCAAGTTTCATCAGGAGAATTAGCAAATCGTTCACATGCATTACAAGTGAGTGGAGTCCATGAGCTGAAGCTCAGCGTCATCATCATCAATATTCAATCGATTGTATCGTCCGTTTCGGTTATCAGACTGATTGGCAGCCGTCAGCGCCTCCTTAGCCCTGTGAAACGTGTCTCGCACATCTCTATGTGTCTTTATTTGGAACGCGTCATTAATCCTCTTTTTCGTATCTTCCTCAACCGCTATGTACAGTCTCTCGCGGAACAAACGTCCAAGTACCTCTTTCTCGAGCTCGTCGTAGTCGTCATTGTTCGGAAGTACTTCGTCTTCGAAGCAACATCTCCGAATGCAAATGAGACCGAGCGAAAACAGAGTGGCCGCGATTAGGATGCCAAAACCAAGGATCTGGGACTGCATGTGAACTTTAAGGAGAGACCGCTGATCGTGTAGTGTCTAAGGGAGCAACAAACATAGTAACATAATTGAATTACCTTAAAATGGAACAGGGACATAGAAAGGCAGTTTGGGGGCAAGAGCTGGGGCAAAAAGTCAGAGTTTCGTCACTGCTTTCTAAATCAAGTTTTCGGTGATTGACTTCCCGTGCAAAAATTTCTATTTTTCTGTCGATAATAAGTCTACCACTGAAGTGAATTTCTGTTAGAAACACCGAAAATGCCATGGTTTAAAAAATAGATGAAATACTTCAAATGATTTGCATTTCCATTCACGCAGTGTCGTTATTTGGGAAAGAATAGTAATGAAAAGGACTGTTATCAGTGCGACTGACTGACGTTTTGACAAACCTGAGCGTAAGCCATTATCAGAATCGAGTGACTTGACTGATCACTTAACGGAGATGACTGAGGTCGCCAAGGTTGTCAAAAGATCAGTCACCGTCGATGACACCAGTCTACCTCCATTCCAGCAACTGCACTACGCGATCAACTGAATGAGAGCAAAACTACTCTAATAATCACCGAAAGCTCTTTCTTACCTTTGAAATATCACTCTCTCTAGGATTTCTGTGGCACGACTCATTTGGCGAGCCAACAGTTAAACACACGAAGAAGTCCCCTTTCAACAGAGCGATGGTTATGTAGGCCATGGGAGGGAGAAACGGTTGGAAAAGTTTAGTTAGAGACTTCATTCGGTTGTTACACCTCTCCTTGACATCTGGCATTCTGCTGGTCTTCAAAATAGATTGCCAAAAGCCCCCGCTCATCATGAAACCGAGGCCCAGGAGGAACAGGGCGGGACCCACCATCATAACGAGGCTGTACATGAAGTAACTCGTACAAGGACATCTGTCACGAGAAACATATCAACATTGTCAACAAGTTTCTTGAAAACATGATCCAAACAAAGTTGTTGTAAGCAACGGTTTTCTGCATCTCAAGAAATGCTTGTGTTCCTTTGGCGGAACTTGTGATGCACTATTTCAGACACAAAGTGAATTCCGTATTCTCGACGTTTTCCTAAAATTCACGTTGTCAACTAGAAATTTACATATGTAATCAGTTGACGTTTTGTAACTGAAAACTTAGCTAATCTGAAAGAGAAAATTTCAGGCGTACTAAAACTTAAATAAGTATCTCTCTCAGTATCTCTCAGTTGAACGAAACCACTCAAACAAAGGTAACAATTCTAGAGAGAGAGAAAGAGATTTATTTAAGGAAAATTAAATTAAGGAAATCGAATCCACTGTTTTTTTACATTTAAAAATCATTGTAAGAGTCGTGCGTCATCATAACTTTCACCCAGATTTTTACGAGAAAGACTTGATAAATAAACAATACATTGGCGCTACAGTATAGCAAACTGTCCAAACTCTAAAATGTAACGACATTAAGTAGCCCTCTTACATAACCGCTGCTAAAAAGTATGAAAAAGAAGCTTTTTTCGCGTGTAAATTTTCGAGTATGTATGTGTTTTTCTTTTATTTTACCACTTATCAATTATTAATGCACTAGGTTTGTGGTTTTTAAAATTGAGATTGAAATACACGAAGCAAAATTGATCACACAAAATCTTGTTTAGTTAATTTGTACTTAGTTCAGATGAGCACAAAACAAATACTTGTCCTTGTCCTCATATGGCGTAGACCGAATTTCACCTCGTGGAATTCGTAACATTTTTTACAATTCTTTTCTTATCAGAATTATGTTGAAATTCAACAGCAGACAGCCTTTTTGTTCCTAAAAAGTAAATTTATTAAGACAAAGGCCAGCTGTAAAATTCAATTCTGGATGCCTTTATGTTTAAATGTTATCGAGAAAAAACGGGAAAATAATATCAAAATATGAAATGATACGGCTAAACATTTTGCTATATTCTCTCCGGATGAGCTACCTTTTGGCTTAATTCTTCCGGATAATTTACTTTCCACTGTCTCTGTAGGGAAAGTTGTTCACAAGTGATTAGTTATTTACGAACAAAATTTGACGGCTTTAGGAGTTGGCTGAGAATTGACTCCTTTTGTTCAATGGAAACGAAGATCATGAAAAATCACGCGAACATGAGAATATTCGACGTCGTTTGGGGAAAATTTGTTGTCCAAGAAAAATAAAATCTTTAAAGAGACCACTTACCTGAGAAATTGGGTTCTAATAAACTCCTCGAATCCATAAATAATCATCAGAATGATGGAATTCTGAAAAGGTCCTTTCGAGTATTTGTAACGTCTTTCAAGTATTTCAAGAAATTGCTCCATTTTCGCTCTGGCTCTCAAGCGAAACCTTTGTTACCTGAGCTAATCGACGGACGAATGTGACTTGCAAACTAAAACGTGATTTGATCAGATTCCCTCGTTCAGCCTATAAAACAGCTGTGAATATTGATCACTCTTTGTTAAGCTTGTTATCTTCAGTTTTATGAACTGAATGTATTGTTTTGAGGTTTTTTTTTTAATCTCGATTTTCCTTTTCTCTCTATAGGCTGCGAAACCAACCGCAGGAAAATTGCTCGAGCTAAGTTGACGATCGTTGGAGGGCTACCAATGAAATGTCATGAATCATTTATATCTTTGTCATTTGTACTGACGGAGACAAGCCAATGAAAATGAAAATTTATGAAGTGGGTATATTTATGTGAATGTCAGTATGAAAATCGATGTAAAGATGCGTTCGAGCTACAAATATTTGGATTAGGGATTCTTTTGGAGAAACACCTACAGAATACGAGTAAAGAATCGATCCTTGCAGTTGTGAACACTACTGAACTAGTAGTTGAAATAAGACCTGAAAAAAAATTAAGCCCGTACGGGTTTTGAACCCATGACCTTTGCGATACCAGGCCTGAATTTTTTTTCAGGCCTTATTTCAATTACTAGTTCAGTAGTGTTCATAACTGACTGCGAGGATCGATTCTATATTCGTTTCTTCAACCGCTCTGCACACATATGATTTTCATATGTTTACAGCCATTATTCACCTAAAAAATAGTTATCAAACTGTCTCTGAACAATAAATCATTGCAAAGAAGCTTCCCTTCATCACTGGACTTTCCAAGGAATAGAGACTTCTTCAACTACAATCTATTCATGTCTATTGAACAACCCTTACGGCTTTGCTTCGAGATATTGGTAATTGTGAAGAGCCCCCTAAGAAACCCTGTTGGCCGCCTGTCGGACGACAGATAACCAAGAGGCCACCTACAAGCTGCCAATACTGGCGATATATTCGAGCAGAAAAGGAAAAACAAACTTTGATTGTACTTTGTGTATACTTTTAAATGTTGAAGCTACTCTGCATACCTGCATACCTCCCTGGATTACCTAGTCATGAGAAATTTTCATATCAAGCTGAGTCTAGGACATTACTGAAGTAACTATGAAGGGACTCTACAGATTTTTTAAAATTATTTTAAGAGGATTGAAGTAAACCAGAGAAGGCATCATACGATGAACACAGGTGTTGAACTGAGTAACATTTAAACTCTATTCTCAAGATTTAATAAAGTGGTAAAACAGGAAATTCCCGTTGTCAAATTTAACCCCGCCCACCTCTGTCTCTTTCTTTCGTTTCCAGTTCCCTTTCTACGCCAATCTCTCCTCTCCATAATAACCATCATACAGTCTTTGTAATGCTGAAATTTCTAAGTACTTTAGATAGCACATCGTGAAAAGTAAAAACTGATAATGCTAAATCTTATCCCGCGTCAATCTTGTTTCCAAGACAAGGCCTAAGGCAGTGAAATGAACTTTCAGTTTTAAAACTGATTTTCCTCCCTAATCCTGACATTTTTCAGCCATTCCATTCCTTTTTCTCCTCTTGTATTGGCCTGTCTCTCTCCATTGTCTCTATCTCTGATTTCTTTAATTTTTATTAAAATTTGTCATTTTTACCCTAACTAAACATTTTATATTGGCATTTAGGAGAGCAAAAACAACTTTAACATATGAAGAAGGAGGGCATTGGGGTTTTCAGTTGTGCCAAAAAAACTACGGTTTTGGTGTTCATTGCGGTTTGTGGATTTTAGCATTTGATTTTCGGCTTTCAGTCCGTAAAAGTCACTAATGGGTTGTCCGATTTGGTACACGATGTGATTTCTCCTCGATTTGAGCGGCAATCATGCGCCTCCACTGATCTCTCGTAACCGCGAAACCTCAGTGTGCTACAATTGTCACTAACTGCATCGGATCGATTTGGGTTTTGATTAATGGGATAGGAAAATTTATCGGTTTTAACAGTTTTGAATGCGGTTTTGGTTTCGATCAAATTTTTCTGCGGTTTAGGATGATTTTTTCTACGTTTTTTCGGTGTCTAATAGATCCCAATGCCCCCCCTCATGAAGGATCCTAACTGGAATAGAAAAGAAAATATTTTTTACTTTGATAAAATCTTGAAATCCAGAATGACATGAAAAAACCATGACCATATTTTTGAAAGCCTAGGGGAAAAAAACACCTTAGGAGCAAGCCCATTAGTGATTAAGTGGGATAACATTACATGCCACTTATCAAACTCTTTAAAATAAAAGAGATAAACTTCAACTTCTTTAAAATCTTGACTGCACCCATGATAGTGATTTCAGTTACCCTTTAAAAAGTTACAACACTTAAGCCAAATGCACGAAGTCCTGTGTTTAATAACATAAGTTCATATTTTACACCAGTTAATTTGCTGTATATTGGTAACCCACATATTTTGTGGCCACATACATCATTTAATTGAAAAAAAGGAAGGCCATAGATCTTAACTGACAATTATATGAAAAACAATTTTAAGAAACAAAAAATTCAAAACATGAAACGCATTTTAAATATTGAGCCTCTCTAGATGCCATAATTGTTCAAATTTTCAAGTATGCTTAATCACAAGCTCACAAAAAAAATAGTTTACATTGATAATTTATAACACATTTTTGTTTCTTTGCACCATAAGAGCAATGTTGACCCCAATTAATTAATAGCACTAATTTTAAATTCTTGTCAGGTAAGATCTTTTCCTTCAAAAATTCATGGATAGTTACATCACTTTAACATATGTATGCACAAAATTGTCAGAATTGACAAAAAAAAATGCAACAAACATTTCTCTTATAGAATTTGCATTATGTCCTTAGGAAAATGTCCAAAAAAATTTACTACTATTATTTTTGTGCATTAACACAAAAACATTTTTATAACCTATTTTACATTATACACAGCTCATAAAAAAATAAATAATTTCTGCACCTTACTAAATACCATACAGTAATTTCTATTTTTCCTTTTTTTTTTTAAACACCTTGTTCAAAGCACACTACCAAATAGCAAATACCATGACGATTTTTTAAAAACACCTTGCTCAAAGCACACTACAATTTAGAAAACACCATATAACAATTTTTTTGTTTTTCTTTTTCTGTTAAAGCATCTCGCTCCATGCACACTACCAAAGAGCAAATAACATATGGAAATTTTTTTTCTAAGGACTTGGCTCAAATCACACTATGAAATAGCACATACCATAAAGCAATATTCTGAAGCTCAAAGCCTACTACAAAGTTGCAAATACCATATATAATTTTTTCTTTCTTTTTTAAAGCACCTTGCTTAAAGCACACTACCAAATAACAAATACTGTTGCAAAGATATTTGCAATTATATCTATTAAGCTAACTAACTATTAAAATCAAACAAAACATGTATGATGCCAGCATCACTTTTGGTCTCAAAAAAAATTCAGTAGGTATAGCGATACAAAAGCAAAATAACTGCAAATAAAGTTCATGCAACATAGCAAAAAAATATGCACTTAAAATAAATGAACCCAAGTAAATAAAATATACACAATGATACACTAGATGAGTGCCAATGGTTAATTTACAGACTGACACTGCCAAAAAAACATGCAACTGTCACTAAACACTGTATACATACATGATCTAACAAAGTCAAACACATGTCTGTGGCCTTCTACTTACAGTTGAGGAATTACATTGTGTCAACTATTCATAACATTCATACATAACCCACTCATCAATTACATCTACAACATCACTTCTTTTCATTCCCTCAAGTATTCTCCAAAATTTTCTGACACAGCTACCCTCCTGAGCATAATAAAACTTTGTTGTTATTAGATCAGTTGGGTTGTCAAACTGGCCAAGCCACTCAGTATAATCTCTGGTCAATCCAATCTCTTCTCCAAGAAGGCAGAAGTCATCAAAAGCAAAATGCTTGTCACTAAACACTGTATGCATTCTTGATTTAAACAAATTCAAACACATGTCTGTGGCCTTCTACTTACAGTTGAGGAATTACATTGTTTCAACCATTCATACTTAACCCACTCATCGATTACATCTACAACATCACTTCTTTTCATTCCCTCAAGTATTCCCCGAAATTTGGAAACACAGCTACCCTCCTGAGAATTGTAAAACTTGGTTATCATTTGATCAGTTGGGTTTTCCATCTGGCCGAGGCACAAAGTTTGATCTCTGGTCAATCCAATCTCTTCTCCAAGAAGGCGGAAGTCATCAAAAGCCAACCGCCTTATATCAAGCTTGGAACATATCTCTGAATAGAACATCAATGGGATAGCAGACATTTTTTTGCTCTGGAGGCTGTTTTGGAAATCCTGTGGAATGCCATTCAGTGAGGTTCCACATGTCTCCCTGAGGTAGAGGCCCGTGGTTGAAGTGTGCTGACTTTTTACTGATGGTTTCTCAAATCCTATTGAATTGATAAGAGACATAAACTGTTAGAATAGAAATCAGTTGAAAGGTCACTTGTTTCCCTGTGCACTGGTCTACTCTGGGTGGAAGATGCATTGTGAGAATGAAGTATCCTGCTAAAAACAGTAAAAATGACAAGCCAACCTGGCTGCATGGGAATAAAACATCACAAAATGTAATAATGTCATTCGTTTTCTATTTATGTTGTACAAAATGATTTAATTAGCATCAATTGACAAGCTTTTGGATATATACCTAACATAAAGCTTCCTGCCTGGTGTAGCCCCTTAATGGCAATCACAACAAGAAAAGTAACTGACATGAATTAACAAGATTAAAAATCTGAAATGTTACTTAATAAGTACAATTAATGTCTACAATATATGCCATGCAGGGCCCAGTTGTATAAAGGTCAGATAATGCTATCCAATGGTTAAATTGAAAGCAAAATGCATAGCATTATCAACCCTATAGAGTTTATCCACTGTAGAACATTATCCACTGTATAGAGTTTTATCCAGTGGATAGTGCTTTCTAACCTTAAAACAACAGTAAGGGAAATTCATAGCACAAGCCAAATGGCACAAACCCAAAGAACTTGATCTATTTTCCAAAGTACATGACTATAAGCAATACTGCTAATTCTCACAAATTACACACTTTCTGGCTTCCTTGGTTGACACCTGGCATTAATGGATTCTGAGGAATTCCTGTTGAAAACAGCCTCATCTGAAAGCTCAGTTGATGCTACTAGACCTGTAGAAATAATAAAAAAATAAAAACATAAAGAAATTGTCTAAATATTTTACATAAACAACATTGAAAGTTTCTTCCATGTGTCAGAGTCTCTAGGGAAGAAGTCATTTTTATCCAATTAAACTATAAAAAAGAATTATACCAAATTAATGATGCAGTATGTGCATGGCCATCATGACATCATTGTCAATCATAGATCTCACTGAATTAACAACATTATCTAAATTTACCTTTACGTGCACTCCATAATCATATAATCCATATAATCATGCTCTTCATCTCTAAAAAATCAAATGATAAAGTTTCAATCAAAAATGTGACAAAGAACTTACTGTATCCAATTCTTGATGGTTTGTTAGGTTTTGGACTTCCAACACACTGGATACGATTGGAATTTAATGTTTCCTTTTGGACCTTGGTATTAAGAACCCCTGGATGTGAAAATGAGCGGGTAAATCCTCTTTGGGTTTCCTTTGTTTCAGCTGGAGGCTGAGACTGCATTTGCTGATGAACTAGTGAGTCTAATAACTCTGACTCAGAAGTCCTCTCTGGAGTTTCTGGAAAAAAAATGTGAAGCAAATTATTTCAAGATTGAAAAAGTTCTGCAGGGAGTGAAATTGGATACTAAGGGAGGTGCTAGTGACAAAAAAATGTGAAAAAAGGCTGGGAAAAAATGTGTATACTTTATTTCCTTTCTCCACTCACTATCATCTTTTAACTCTAACCACTAACCAATAGAACTCTTGCAAAAAATATTCAACACTTGCTCCCCCAGTAAACTGGAGATGAATCTGAAAGGCAGTGAATTTGGCCTATTCTATTGTGTGTGATTTCCTTTATAACAAAATTAGACTTATTTGCCTTATGTCATTGGTAAAAAAATGGAAATGTATTCCAATTTTTCCTGTTAGAACAAATTTCAATACATAATTTAGAAAAAGAAAACAACATTTAATGTTTCTTTGACAACTGGTATTAAACCAATTAAGGCACAATTTCTTCCCCTTCATTTCAAAGAGATTTGATTTCTGAGCCTAATTCAAATGCTTCTACATTAAGAAAAAAATCAAAGTACATGTATGTCACCTCAGAATACTGAACTGATATGCACATCAAATGCCCACAGTAACTTGTGAATATGCAATGCATTTCCAATGAGTTAAGTGAGCTTGCAGTTGAGGTCATTGTATGAAGAACAAATGGTGCATAATTAAACAATTAATTACAAATAATAATAAAATCAAATTTAATTAACAAGTCTTCACCTGAGAAATTTTGTTCACTTTTCCCTGCACCTAGTTCAGGGTCATGCTCTGATCTCTGTGTTTGGCCACCTGCTGCATCAAAATACATTATGTTTCCATGACCATTCAGTGATGCTCCAAAATGGCAGCAATAACAAAACCAACTCATCAGGGTATCTTTGATCACATGCCAGCCATAGACCCTACTAAGGATCACAACAATGACAATAGCTAAAAACACAATTGTTCCAAGCACAATACCTACAATTTCTGATACCTCAAGACCTCCCTGGTCTTTGTCATTGTTGTTGCTTTCAGCAGTGCTTTTGGGAGGTTTGTCTGGACAATTTAAATTATGTTCCCTGCATTGTTTGCTACTGGGAAATCCAGAGTCCTCACAATTCTTTTCATGATATTTGTCATTTTGCCCACAACAGTCACTGCATGGATGACATTCACCACTGATCAAATCCATATAAAATCCTTTGTGGCAGACCCCTAAACAAACTGTGGTATCCTCTTCCAAGGTGCAATTTCCAGTTTTTTTCTCATGCTTGCCACACATCATGCAACGTTTACAGGTGGAATAATCATTAGTTTCTGAGAAATTCACACCTTCCTCACATGGAACACACTTAATCTTTGTGCTGAATGGTATGCTAGTCCCACAGTGTACATTTAGTCCTAATCCTGGATGACATTCTGTCCCTTTACAATTCCACATGATCGAGTGTGTCTCATTAATAACTCTTTCTATTTCATCAGGCCTTGGATTACGACGCTTGTTAGCTACTATCCCAAAACTTGTCCTAATGAATACAAGAAACACCTGCAAAAAGAAGTTTCTTTGTCAAATTTTATAAAGGAAAATTAAAATAAACATTGTTCAAATATTCAATTGAAAATTAATTTATTCCTTGATTTATCTTGTTAGTAAAAAAAAATTGTCTTCTGTACAAGCAAATGTCAAGTGAGAAATAACTCTCAAAAAATAAGAAAGGAGTGTGTAATGACAGGGGCCAATAACAAGGATAAAATAAGACACCATCTTAGATTTCTATTTGCTGCCAGTAAAACTTTGTCTCAGTTTAGCAGGTTACTGCTTACTATACTTTAACTGAAACATTGAGAAAGGGGGTAAATTTCTAAAACAATTTTGCCTTGGTAAGGATTATCAAAACATAATTTGGTTTTCTCAATGGAGTAGATAATTTGAGTTGGTTATACTATTAAGAAAATTTCTGACCATATTACTTTCCAAAACAGTAACAGCTACAGTTCTTCTAATAGAGAGTATTTTGTTCTTTTGTTTTGAATTGATTGGAACTATTAGTTATTTATCTTAGAGGAATTTAAATTTTAAGATTGCAATGAATTTGCACGATAGTTCTTTAAATTACCATCAATCTATTGAACAAACTCACGCCCAATTAAGTAATAGCTGATTGAAAGTCACATTAATTTTTTTGTTTTCAAAATGCTTGCTGACAGTTTTTTCATATCATGTTACATTCATTTTGTTTCTGTAGGCTAAATGCAAAACAAGAGGATAAATGATGGATGACCAAACTTAACCATGACCAAGAAATGAATTAGCCTTCTATGACATCCTTCAGCCATACAAAAGTAATAAATACTTCATGTTTTCACAGAAAATCACCCTTAAAATCATAGGGAGTGACAATGTCTAATGAGATACTTAAAAGTGACAACAGCTTTAAATTACTTTCAATTATCATATCAGGATATACATAGCACATTATGCATGAATTCATTAACAGCAATTAAAGTGACATTACTTGAGAAGGTACATGTAACTTATTTGGAAGAGGTTATCAAATCTACTGATACACGAGATCTTAACTCATACACTGCATAAAGATTGAAAATTTTTAATCAAAGTTTGGCCTTAAATTAATCCACTTTAAATTTGAAGATTAATTTTGTTTAAACAACATTTTAGGCCTCTCATATCTGTCAAAATTGTTTCACTAACAATTCAAAGGTTTCCCATCTTTCCTAATTGTCTACATTCTGCCAATGTTTTCCTTTCATTCGTTCTCCAGTTAGAGGATTGTGAAGAGAACAGTAAAGTATTTTGTTGCATTTTCCTTGTTGCAATATGGTCAATTATGGTTTTGGAAGTAAGTGGTTTGTGGAACGATTGTCATTGTTAGAAAGTTAACGTTTCCTTCAATATGAGTAAGCTGTAAGTTCATAATATACCACAAAAAGCCCATCAATCTTGAAAAAATGGCAACGAATGGGCAAAAATTATAAGTTGCCAATCTTTTTTTTTTTTTCGATAATGTCCTTGCCGAAGCTATTTACCTTTTGAAATATTTAAATTACTTTGACACAAATTTCCTAACACCCCTACCCAGTATTGACGCGATTTTTTATCAGTCAAGGTTAAACGTCTATTGTGAAATTAATTGAATAAAGGAAAGGCATATTTTAACTTTAAACTTGTCGAGCTCGAAGAAAACGCAACGCAACGGAATGTTTAAGATTAACTGAACCCAAGCAGGTACGTATACGAATGACTCCTTTGGAAACATGCATAAATTACTCAAACTGCACTCACTTGTCGAATCTCAGTATGTAGACTTAATTTTCGTGTTTTTCTTGTCGCTAAAAATCGCACGCTACCAACAGAAACCTTGAGGACGATATAACAAAGATGCGAAGAAAGGAAATTCTACATCAGGTGATCACGACACTTCGACCAGCAACAATGACTACTACGTCGATACGCGCAGCAAGTGCGTTGTAATTACTCCACTCCAGCCCCTACAAGTGTTATCCCTAATTATAACTTAAAATAAAAATAGGTTTTCTCACCAAACTCCAAATGATTATCGCTGTCTTCATGATTCGAAGAGACGAAGGAGCTCAAATAAGCTTCAAGGTAAGAAAAGTGGTGACTCAGCGAAATAATTACGCCACTCTGTTCTGGAATCACACACAATAAAACAGTTTAAAACGAAGTTTGACCAGCTGGAAAAGGGTTAAGTTTCTGTAAAATATCAATATCATCACAGTCCATTGAGTTAGCGATCGACATCACATAGTCAATACGCAAGGAGATTTAACTGACATTTCACGCAGACCGAGAGAGCATTGCTGAAAATGTCAGAAACGTTCCACAAACTGTGAGAAGACGAAAATTTTACCTAAAAACAAATATACATACCACCGTTAGTGCTCAGTTTTCCAGCTAATTTTCACTCGGGATCACTTAACTGGTTGCTAACCCCCAAAACTGTAAAAAATTTCTATCAATTATATCAATACGACCAGGACTGATTTTTAAAGTAGTCATCGGGGATTCCCCTAAAGGAAGGCTGTTGTTCTGATTGGCTATATGTACCATGGAAGACAACGCATGTCTTCATGAGAAAGGCCGCGATAAGCTTAAGGTCATGAGAAATAGGTCCGGTACGGCTGAATGTCAGAGTGACGTTAAGCTGGTATATTTTATAGCTATATACCATATAAACGACAAAGCTATATTTCTTTTTGTCGAGAAAGTTGTCATCACTTAAGGCCATCGGATTCTTCGAGGCGCTTGTCTTAAATACTTGAGGCGCTTGGTTTACCTACTTGAGGTGTTTTCCTTACTTGACTCGATTTTACTCGAGTCGTGATTCACTTACTCGAGGTGCTTTAATTACTTGAGGTGCCCGACTTGCTTGTGGAGGGGGACAGGGGGGCGGGAGAGGGCGGGAAGCGGGAGCAGAAATAAAGAAGGCAATAGTTTGTTGTTTATTACTTGGCATTATTCAATCAAAAACATTTATCTAGCGAAGTTTTGAAATTTCCATTTAACATCCACCAATGTTTAAAAGAAAATTTAGGAAGCAAGAAAACGTAAATTTGTACTCGGGCTGGAAAAACAGCATTTATTCCGGTGAATTTGTAAATCCCTTCGATTCGATTACATCATAGGTCATGACCTGTAATAACTTTCACCGGGACCCAATAATCCCACGCCGAAACAAAGGCCAGAAAATGAACAAAAATGTTAAGTTTATGCACAGTTTGAAAGTTAAACCCAGGTTTCTGATCCTCTTGATTAACCTGAAGACAGGAGCAACACAATGAGGGGTGGGAGTCGGGAGGCAAAGGGGCACAAAACTACGGGAGGCGGGAGAACGTGGTACAAGGAGCGGGAGACTCTGAACCCCCTGTCTCCCCCCACTTGCTTGAGGTGCTTGACTTGCTTGATGTGCCTGCCTGGCTTACCTAAGGTGCCTTGCACTGCACTTTCAAAGATTCCAACTTTCTAGTTTTGGCCCAGCACCTCCCATTTCCCTAAATAATGTCCCATTTTTGTCAGTAATCTTTCCTTGGCAAAGGAAAATATTGTATTCCCTTCAAAAGTGGCCTTTTTAGCATTATTGTTACCTTTTTTTGAGGCAATTCTGCCCTCTCTGTAAGATGGAAAGGTTAAATTGTATAGGCTGATACATATGGCTTGGAATTGCTAACCCTTTAAGCACCTAAGAGAGTAGTAATTTCTCCTTGCTAACCCCTGAATCAATCATTATGGTCATGAGAATGAAGGAAATGCTGCTCAACAAAAGAAACTTTTGATCAGTAAATAATTTCTCCTTGTCAGCACCTTAGGAAATGTATAAAGAACAGTATGGAGAATATGCATAATGACATTAGACTGTAAAGGGTAAATAAATGAAACCCCACAACTTGACCAACTTTCTTTGTGTCTATATACTATATTTGACTTGAAAGCAAATACCATTATTTAAAATATGGTAGCACTTATTGACCTCAGCTTTTGGTGTGAGATTTAAAAATTTACCCCTTTTTCTTCAGGGCAATTTTTTATAGACTTCAATCTCAAAATGTAGAAAATGGTATCTCAGAGGCCTATATGTTTACTTTTACTTTACCCCTTATTTTTACTCTATATTTTTACTTTCACTTTTTGACAATAGCATGCTCAGACTCCCCCAGAGACCCACATCCTACATATTTGTCACCACTGCTTCGCCACTCCTAAAACCTTCCCTTTTTTCAATTTCAAAGGGTTAGAATCTCTGAAATTTGAGAATGTAGATGCTTTTAACCTATGGAGCATACTTCCCCTTTAAGAAACACAGACTAGCATTTCTCAGCCCTACATGGTAATTTCCACTTGGTGGGTACTTCATTCTCAAGCCAGATTTTCTTTGTTCAAGCTTGGATAAGGAGAGAAAGAAAATGTTAAACTAAAAGGTGTCCAAATTGCTATGAATTGTCTAAAAACCTCATGGGAGATGAAGTAACACACAACTTAAGTGAGGAGAGTAACGACATTTTATCCAAATCCATCAAAATGGTTGGGTTTTCAAGACAGCCATGTTCCCCAAACAAATCCTCATATTTCCATTTTTGGTTACTAGCAGTGTAGTTAATAATGAAAGGTTTTAAACACTCATGCATACCTTTTACCTTCTCATTTGCATTTTATTCAAAAGTCTGTACAAGTGAAACTACACACAGTGAACAGTCCCTTACAAGTACTGCAATGTACAAAAAAAAATTCCAATACAAAAGTAAAAATTAGACCAACCAGAACTGTTCAAAAACTATCATAAATAATGAAAAATCTCTGTTACCTATTTTCACACACAAAAAAATTAGACATGTACCTTTCACTCACTTAACTAGAAAATCACTTATAGAAAATAAAAACGAAAAAGCCGTCAACCAATTGGGAGGACTGTAATGCACTATTGCAATAAAACACCGATACATAGCTTCTTAAAGCAGAAAAGAAATCATAGTAAAAGTTATGCACTGCATTTCAGGTTAAAAAATTGAATCTAAACACTAGTTCAGTTGCTCAAGTACCTTTCACTAGAGCACTTAATCTAACAATTTAAATAGAAAATCACTTAAATAGCAAATCATACAAAAAATCCGTCAACCAGTTGAGAGGACTGTAATGCATTATTACAACTGGACATACTGATGTACAGCTTTTTAAATCATAGATATAGTATCACAGTAAAAGAAATGCACTGCATTTTTGCCTAAAAAATTGAATCTAAACACTAGTTCAGCTGCAAAGCTTTTTAATGAACAAATATCTTAGAAGAAAATGAGATAGGTATAGTCTTGAAAACACATATGATCTATCAGTTTCCATTTGGAATAATAATATCATATTCATCAACCATGCAAAGAATGCAAATTTTTGTGGATTTAAACAAGGAAAACTGTGTTAACAAAAAAACAAAAACAAAATAAATAGATCATTGTTATTACTAATAGTCTATAAGATTTGAAAATGGATCCATCAAGTTGAGTTATGTAATTGCATACATTTGTTTTGAGTTGACTTTTTCTTCCTTACATTTAAAATCACTTTTCAGTGCTCCAAGCTAGGAGTACTTTGCTGAGAAAAAAATTTTGTTTGCAGTCATCTAATAAGCTGCAATGTTTTCATTACCAAGAGTTTCTGGTTTTAAAGTGAGATAGACATTCTGTTTCACATAAAATAACATTAGGTCATATTGTATAAAATGTCTCTTTCCACTTTCTTCTGCTGACTACAGGTAATACATTATTTTTGACAACCATTTTATGACCTTAGGTTGCCCAATAGCAATTTAGAAATAATTGAGCTTGGAGCCCTGCTTTTAATTAATTGTACTTTACTACTGATAAATTAAAGTTTTCAAGGAAAATTTTCAGTCAAGGGAAAAACACAGACATATTTAAATTATCATTACCGATTAACAATTTTTTTAATTCACCCATTCTGCTAGACTTTTTCTCACATATCAACTAAAAAAATATTCAGTGAGTGTAACAACAAATTGTAGGACAAATTTTCTTCTTCATCAATAAACTCTTGCTGCTTTCTTCTTAAAAAAAAAAAAGAAAAAAACACTGAACATTTCCATTGTTGATGGTTTTCTAAGTTAGACTGTAAAATTAAGGTTGATCTCATAGACACACTAGTAGGCTAGTTATTTAAATGAAGACTACCTCAGGTTACACATGAGACAATTAATTTTTGTCTAGATTTCTATTTGTTAAGTGACATGTTTGAAGTAAACTAAAAAAAATAATCTTAGTGTTTTGTACCAGAGTGTTGTTTGGTATCAACTAAACAAGGAGGTAGTTGTTCCTGGTAGGGCATACGTACATACCTTCCTAGAAGCACATACACACCAAAGAGTTATTGGATTACCCTCTGTGTTATTGGAATCTTTTAACATTCAGACCCACCATTTATCTCATTGACTATGTCCTCCCTTCCCATCTCCTTCAATATGTCTACAAAATCCCCAACAGTTCCTTCAGGATTTGCTGCAAAAAATCTTTCTCGAAGGAGAACATAGGTAACAGAACCAGCCACCTTCTGTGTAGTGACTGCTTGTTGGAAGCGCTCAAAATCAAGTATTGTAAGTCCAAGCTTCTCTGCAAGCATTCTAATGTCTTTGCCATCCGTTCTTAGTATGTCAAGTGACAAACAAATATGATTCAAAAGCTGGAATGACATATGCAAAATCTTGGTACTGTATTTTTCTTCTTGTGTTAACACTGACCAGTTGACAGCTCCCAATGTTTGCACACCCATACTGATCGTGCCATTCCTGACAAGGGATTGAGGCCATAATTCATGTGAAAGAAACTGGTTTTGAGGCTGCTGGAAAACTGTGAAAAAAAAAGCACAATATTACTGCATTCTGGCTTCTTTTTAAATTGGATACCTTCAAAGCCTCTTAACCCTTTCACTCCCAAGATCTGATAAGTAAATCTCCCTTTTAGCTATTGTACATTAGTTATCCTTCAATATCATTTGGTTTGAAATTATTTTATATATGTTTAACAAGGTACTAACTTCATGCTGTATTACCTGAAAAAAATTATTCCAGTTCTTGAATATTTATATAAACATACCATCACAGAGACTTCAAATGTCTAGTTTGCAATAAATTTTGTTCTTCTTTGTGTGGGGTATGGAGGCAAGGTTTTGTAATTTCAGTTTTCTTTGAATAGTACATTTTGGCTTAATTCATGTACAAATTTCAAATTAATTGAGAATTAAAATGAAGCTGAATACTCATAAGTACTAGGCACTAAAACTGACACTCACCCAAGGAAGCAGGCACCAGACAAGGTACAATGTTTGGGCGTAATGTGTTCTTGTCAGTTGGTTGGTGTAAATCCCTTGGTGTTTCATTAATACAAGAAGGAGTACCTGGAAGCTGTACTTCTACCTCAACTCTGTCTACTTGAGATAAAATAATAAATTACTAATAAACAAATTGAATGAGCTACTGCAATACAAAGGGTTACAGTCTGAAATGTCAGCCTTCAAAAACCATAGTGGTGGTTGATACTCATGGGTGTAATTATATTTACAATAAAGGTAACATTTTTTCAAAAAAATGTATATACACTAACAAAAATAAAAAAACCAAGACTCAGAGCCTTGAGTTCATTTATCAAAACTGGTGCCTTAAAGGAGAATGGGAATATATCAAATGTCAGATTAATGTCAGCTCTTGCTGATGCTTAACTACTAAGCATGAGGGCACCATATTTATCCATACTTTGGAGGAAAAATGAAACAGGAAGTAAGATAATCTGAATAATAATGAACACTATATTTTTCAAAGCTGCTGTGTGCATGAGTGCAAACAGTTTTGGTCAGTTTCTTACTCTTTACACTAGCAGCTGACATTTTGGAAATGTAGATCAATCAACAATAGGTTTGACAATAATTACCTGAACCATTATTTTCAGTCCCATGAGTCAAAGCTGATACTGTGTTTAGGGATTTGTCTCCCATCTCACTTGAATGGGCACCTCGATAAACAACATGGTTTGTTCCTAAATCAATGTGACAAGCTTCATCACCTTGCTCTGTTTGGCCTGACAATGATGGGCCTGGCAAGGATGGAGGTGCATCAACTGTAGTTTCTTCTGATTGACTTCTACCTTTATTTTTCTTTTGCAACTTAAACACAATAGCCACTGATAAGATCACAAGAGTTACTCCACACAATATGTAAATGATGGTGTTGTTTGAATACCTGCCAAGTGGTGGCAATATGTTCTCAGTGTTCGGGTCTTTAGTTGACTTAGATTCTCTATTTTGTATGATGCTGGAACCAGCACGAACGAAGGAGCTAGTGGCAGAAATTACCAAATTTGCTGTGGTGGCAGAAATCTGGGAAGCAGAGGTAACTGTTCCAGATACAAAAATCGAATGGTTTGTTTGTGAACTTTTCTGAGGGTGTTGTTGGATTTCCACACAATGTATATCTCTCTCATAAGGAATAGTCGATCCACAAGGGACAGATGAAGTTGAATATCCCTCAATGCATTCTGGACAAGGGAAACAACTATGACATTTGCCTGTAGCATCAATTCTTTTAATCTCGCCCGTACAATCTGGGCATCGAGCCGATACCACTCCCTCAGAGACCTGACAAAAAAAGGAAAAATGGAGCATTAACCATAGCATAGTCAGACGTAAAAGCAATGGTTACTGAGTCTATCATAATATAATGGGACCATAACGACTGCGTATTTTTGGTGCAAAATCTTTCTCTTACTCATCGCAAATTCCAATTTTCATCACCAGTTCTTTGCTTTAATCATAACAGTTAGGTGGCTAAGATAGCAGCATAAATTTATGTGGCAAAACTACACATAGTTGAAAACCTCGATCGATAGAACATTTGGCTTGTTCTGACCACAGTGTAGACGAAATATCCAAGGGAAATCAAACATAATCACATAAAAACATAATCCTAACCCACGGGCTACGAAAAATCTATCTAAGCCAGCAAAAGTACCAGTGAGGCCACTAGAGAGACGTCCTCCTTTGGGAAGGTCCGCCATGTTGGCGGTTGAAATCAAAGCGGTGGTTGCCTATAACGATAACTAATTTGCCCATTGGGTTATATATTCTGACACAATGCAGCCCAGATATCAATATCGTCTTTCTCGACAGCATTATCCTAGTCAGCATTAGGGACCGCTTGTTCGCAGGGAAGTTACTTAAACTTAGATGGAGACAAAACGGTAACAAAGGCTATTATGAAGCCAAATGAAAAATTCACCCTTATCTTGGGTTACCTACATCTCGTTTTGCCAATTAGGTCTAAAGTTTCAAATAAATTACCAAATTTCAATGTCGATTCTAGCACTAAAAATGTTGAAAATCGGTTCCACTTAAACTTTTAATTAAATGCAGTGAAATCTAGCTTATAACGAATCATTCCTACTTACAGTTGAGATGAGGACCATTAGGATCACCGCTCTCATTTTGCAAATTAAGCTTTCTTCGAGAAACGCAAAAGAAGCCATTTTCTGCAAAGAAAACGAAGTGTAAGAAAATTTTGAAAACTATTTCACTCAAAGTCTTCCATTCACTAGCTTCTTAGCTAATTTTTACAGCCTCGGTCAGCCTTCAAGCATCGAGTTCCACATACCTTGAGCGAGAAATGAACTATATACAATTAGAGTTTGAAGTGTATCAGAGAGAAAAAATGTTAATTTTTAAAATGGACAGAAATAGTGGTGGGGGTTCCCCTAATTTGATATTCATCACGTACGCACGAGCTAGCTTCAACCGTATTCAACGTTTCCTCGCATTTAGATAAAATAAAACAGTGGTTGCTCTTGATATTAAGGCTCGACAACAAGAGAGAGCAAATTTAAAGATTAATAGCAAATATGTTAAGATGTTATGAAAGAATAAAGGGGGTAAGTTTCTAAAGAAACTATAGTGCTGCGTCGGTGGGAGAGTATAACAGATAATTTACTGTATTCAAGTTCAAATGGCAACCAAGTGGACAATCAGACATGGATTGATGCTACTCTGGTTTAAAGATTTAATGCACTTATCAGTGGCCACCCAGGGGGGTTGACCCCGGGGAACCACCGGGCATTTGCACCAAGACATTTGCAAATCATCCAACTACCCAGGGCCAATATTCTTCCACAAAAAGCTACCACTGTCCCTCCCCCGGGGGCATAATTTGAAAGGACCCCCGAATTGTAACGTAATTTCCTGCATAATTTTTAATAAAAGTTTAACAATAATATATACAGTAAGCAAAAATAGCTAGTCCGCCTGTTTTCTGCACACAGCAAGGTTCAGCTTTATACCTTGTAAGGCGTAGAATGACAATTTTAACGAACATACACTTACTTCGGCCTATGTTTACTATACAGGGCTATACAGGGCTCAAAGTTAAAAACATCCTAGGTCGCTTTTTGCCGACGACTAACTGGAAAAAAGTAGTCGCAAATACTATGTTTTTTACGTCTCTTGTTCAACTGTTCAACGGTAATACCCAGTTCCCGCGATCAGAATCTTTCATTATCAAAAATTGGCGTCAAAAGTCAGCAAATCTCGCGCTATTCCCCCGTATGTCCCTGGGGTCAACCCCCGGGATGACCGCTGATAAATACAGAATGAATGTAACCGCGAAGTTACAATTCATAGACCCAACGTTTCGACACTCCTGTCTGGTGCCTTCATCAGTGGTGATCTAAACGCTGCAACAAGAGGTCTTTTTGTACGCTCACTAATTTAGCTGCCTTTTTTCTGACGAAAAAATTAAACCTTTAAACCAGTGTAGTATCAAACCATGTCAGGTAATTTAGTGTTAACAACTAATTATACCCCATTCGCCAGCAAAACATGTTTTGTTAAACTGGTTTTCATTGAATGAAAATTATAAACAGAGAACTGAAAAACTTGATTTTCCATTGGATTCAAGTACTAGCTAACTTGTATTTCCAATGTGCTACATTCAAGTCAAAAATATTCGGTTAAATAGTTTCTATGAAGAAAAAAAAAATTAAACTGTGTTTAACAAAACAACTTTTAAACATGTTTAAGCTTTGGTGTGAATGGGGCATAAGTTGAAAACGTAAGTTGGCCACCGTGAAGAGTGTAAAGGCTGACGTTTCGAGCGTTGGCCCTTCGTCAGAGCGATAAACAGAGAGCTAACGCTCTGACGAAGGGCTAACGTTCGAAACGTCAGCCTCAATACTGAAATATATATCGCTTGGTTATCGACCTTAAAAACTGTACGCTTCTGATCAGACTTCCGGTACGGTCTCGAATAGATTAGATGCCTCGAAAATGCCCGGCAATCAGAAACCTTCACCAAAATGCCACTGAAAACTTCATACAAACCTGCTCAGTAGTACATTCGATGATTATTTAGAAATGTTGGTTTTTCAGTAACACTATAAAACACATTAACATTATAGTATGCACGCGCTCGGAGAAATTTGTCCCCTAAAAAACAAATTAATTGTTGGGATGGATTGACATTTCTAAACAAACATCTGATGTTCCTAAGAAGTTTGAAAGAACCCTTCGGTGGAAATTCTGTGAAAATTTCTGACTGCCGAGCATTTAGCTGTCTATTTGAGACCGTTCCCGGCTGCCGAGCATTTAGTCACAGCGTAACATTAATTTTTCTTTGTTTTTTTTTTTGCTTTATGCAAATGATCGTCATTTTCCGGTGAGGTGACTTGAAGCACGTTCGTTTGCTAATTAACAATGTGCTGAGCAAGCGTCTTCGTCAAAACTTCAAATCCACAAAACAAGACTCCCGTAGACACACTTGGTTTTTACCTTCAACAGGTCTTTCAATTTACTTACAATTTTCACTTTTCCGAAGTAGCATACTTTTCTCGTATATTTTGATGTCTTCCATTTAAGATCATTTAAGGAATGAAATTAGGCTGATTTAGCAATAGGACGGGAACGTCAGATGAAGACGGGAGAGCGAGCGGAATAGTCTGGATTCTGTTCTAATTTGACCATATTTGGGTATTTGCACTGCGCGCGCCGTCGTCAAATGATGTCTTCCATTTAAGATCATTTAAGGAATGAAATTATTGTGTTTATGTGCTCGCATGCGTCGTGTAAATAGGCCTTAAATCAGCCTATTGTGTTTATGTGCTTGCGTCACCGCCTAAGCTGAGAGCAAATCTGACTTTTATGTACATAAAACAGATTTAAGAAATTTCCACGAGCCACCATGTAATAAAGTTCGAAGGGTATTCAAAAGAAAAAGAAAAAAAGAAGCTGAAACAATGAACCTCGCATTATTAGAGCTTTTGTTTATTTAATTCAGCCACCTATGACAAGGACCGCGCAACAAGTTTTCAAGTAGGGGCTATTTTTGACTCCGTTATCATTTGTTAAAATATCTTTTGTTTAATTTTTTTTTATTTTTACAAAAAAGTGGAGAGGGGGGCTAATTAACTGGATGGGGACCAATAAACTGTTTAGGTTTCCAATTGATTCACCGCTCTAACAAAATATGTTTTCTATGGTGTATGATTTTTCTCAAGCCAACATATAATGACTATTATTTGAACTTTTATCCCCGAGACACTTATGCTGTCTCTAAGCTAATAAAGCATTTCATTAATTGTAGGCGCATTTCATTAATTGTAGTGCGTCTACATTAGTGTCCTTTGTCAGTTACCAGTTTTGTACTTGTTATATTTATCATATTTTTTGTTGTTGTTGCGAAAAATATCGTTACATATCTAGCTTTGGGTTTCATTTTTTCGTCTTTGGTTTGGTCACATTCGTCTTGTAAGAGTCCTTGTTTATTTCGCTTTGTCGTTTTCCAGTACTTTCACTCATACGTCGTAAGTTATTTGATGCTCATTCGCGTGTTTGTAATTTTGTTATTTTCAGTTACCGTGTTCAACAATATGTCAAGTTTGTTCTGGTAAAGTTTGAAATACGAGTGATTAGCGTTTGCGGCTATATTAATTTGTGTTTATGACGGACAGTTATTTTAAAAACTCTTGAGGGAAAGTCACGCCATTTTATCATGCATCTCTAAAAGCGGCTACCAAGTGGATTTTCATTGTGGCTTTGGTGTAAGGGTTAAAAATGTCATGTTAAAATGCTGGTGGAGAAACTAAATCAGAATTAAAAGAATATCACTCTATAGCTATGTAAAATAAATAGTGCAATATTTTTATAGGTGGTTTTAAGGTGAAAAATAAGAATAAATCAAAGAAAATGGTTATGACTGAGCTAAACTAGGAAAAAAATTGATTTTGAAATATGACAAAAAAATAGAAAATATATAAAAGTACAGAAAAACGGACGGTCTTAATATTTACAAATGTGATAAGAAGGGGCAAGGAAGAGAATTTTACAATTTGCACAACTCTTTTCTTTCAACCATTCCTGAAACATATGTCTTTTGGAAACCTTACTCGCAAACTAAAATATCATGTTAATAATTATAAGCCAGTAGAGCTTAAAGAATATTACATGAATATCTCTGAGCATCACAGCCTGCAAGAGTCCAAATTTTCTTAATTCCCGAATCCTTCCCTACTTCCCTTTCTAGCTGCATTTTCTCGCTCCTGGTTTAAAGGCTATGAAATGGCATTACTTTTAAGGCGTAAAGTTCATTTCAATTCATTGTCATTCAAAAATGCCCTGAGGGACTTGTTAAGGCTTTGAAACGAAAAAGAGATCCTGCTATTTTTCTTGCTAGTTTAACTCTTAAAATTCCAAGATGTGATTGTTAATTCTCCTCTCTAGCTGTCATAAATTCCTTGTAAATTAGTAACAAGAATTTGGCATTCGATAAAGGTAACAACTTTTACCTGATGAAATTGAATTTTCTCATTATCTGTTCGCTGAATAATGTATGTATATCATGGGGAGAATTTACATGCTAATCACTTCTGGAGTCACAGGGTTCAGAGAAATGGATTGGATTCTATGAGTTAATTTCTAACTTGTGAGAGATGTTTGGTCTTTGACCCAGTTATCTACAACCTAAATCACATCATGTCGCTCCATTTTTCTCAATATGCAAATGAGGGGATCGAATACAGGACATTTCGCACAAAAGACTTTTAGCAAAAGTCTTTTCGCACAAGTTTTGGACCGTTAGCACAATTCTTAATAGTCATTTCGCACAATAATCGTAAGTGAGAAACATCAATATATAAGGTATTCTAATTGATATTGATATGATATTTCACCTTCACATGTCACTTTCAATAAGATCCAACAGAGAGAACGTCAATATTTATTTACGTGATAACTTCAATTAGATCGAAACGCTTGTGAACACGATCATTATTCTTACTTGAAAAAAGGAACAAATCTTTCTCTCTATGAAAATGTAAAGAACTTCCTATTCGTACGATTACTTCCATTACTTTTCCTTTGTTAAACGAAAAACTTTTTAGTCTTGACAGTACATTATCCACCACAAACATACAAACATGACGACCCACGCTGAGGACGCCATGTTGATTTAGAAAGTAATCGTCAGCAGTCCTCCCTCCTCTGAAGTCAAAATAAAAACCTGCGAGCTGTTTCACTTTTTATTCAAAAGTATTAAAGACCTTTATACAAAATTTTTGTGTAACTATATAAAATTCAAGCAATGTCAATTAATGGAATTTTAATTACAATAACTAATTGATACATTCATTTGCTATCTAGTAACTATTAAACCGAAGGTA